TGCGTTTAATGAGTAAAACACCAATTAGTCATATCAGTCCCGTACATTTCGAGCTCATTTTGTAAAGCTCTCTATCTTTCAATTGATTTATCAATGGCTGAATGTATTTTGTTTTTAATTTTTAATATTTTTGATTAATAACATGTTATGAACTTATTTCTAAAYAAAAAATTTCTATACCGCAAAAAGTACCGCTATAAAATGTAGTCAATACTTGAAAATATTAAGTGGTAAGGTTCGCGGGGCACCGAATATACATACATAATATATATTATATATTCGTGTGGAAATAAATATATTTGCTTTACTTATGGCACTTCTGTTTGTACCTGCAAACTAAAATATATATGTTATGTGATACATTTAATAATGATATCATGACTAGTAAAATGACATATATGCACTTAAATTTTTCTTAGAAATCAACCCGCACGGAAGCGCTACAACTGTTCTAACACTCGAAAGAAAAACTATTGCTCACTTGCATTAATATTTACATAATCGGACACATGTCCCATGTAAAATGTGTGCTGTTTGTTTACTCAACTGCGGTGGCTATTAGAAGAACTATAAYTACTTACTACAGTTATGCATAATTACATACATATGTAGGTATATAAGACAAAGTAAAGAAGACACTATTATATGTACAGATGTATGTGCGCAGTTTTTGCGTCCACTATCTTAGACAATAAATGCGGAACAAATAGTGGAAAAATTCGCGAAAGCAAAGATAATAGAGATAAAGAAACTGAAATTTCCGAGAATATACATACGTGAGAGTCAAGAATGGTAATGAAATTCCGATTGTCTTACATACATATGTATGTATGTATGTATATGAAGACAGATTCCGCTAAAATGCTTAGTTATACACGTGATGTTATTCAAGTAACATATCATCTGTCAAAGTTTAACGCTTGATAAGTAAAATAGAGTACATAAGATAGTAAGTGTTTATGTTTTCAGATTTCCGGCAAAGTCAGATACATCCACCACTTTGTGCTACATTGTTTGAATAGAATAATTATTTCTATGTTTCAATATGTAGAGTATTGGCAAATGTGGAAAAATTCGGAAATCTATAATTTAATTGTAACCAAATACCAAGTGATGTACAACGTATATTAAATTTAMCACGAAGTTTGAAACATCCCGAGGGAAATGTCAGAGATCCTACGCCTTTGATATATAAATTATCAGCTTGACCAGCTGAGTTGATTTAGCCAAGTCCGTCGGCCTATTMATCTGCATAAGTATGTGCGAATTAGTTCTTCAGTATTGTAGACATCAGTCTGATGTTTTGTACGCGGACCACCATATCATATACTATATGTACATAGCTGCCATACAAAATGAATGATCAAACTTAAGTTCTTGTATGGAAAACTTTTTTATTTGACGACGAATTGTTAAGAACGAGTCCCTATATCAAATAGCTGTCATAAAAACAGACAATTTTCCAATTTCTCATCTATTTTACCAAGTTTCACCATTCTACCTTGATATCGAYTCGACTTCAGAAAACATATTTGTTAAAAACCTGCAGCCTCTGTCGATAATCATTCATCAAAAATGCTTGGAGTAAGTAAAACTRTCACTTTTTAAATGTTACCCACTAGAAGTGACTCATTTACTAATATTTGTAATGCTTTTAATGCTGTCTTATATAATGAAGATATGACGGCTACACACTCTCTTCAAAATATCAATTACAAAAAAGAAAAATAAATCAATATTTTATCAATGAGTGAATGTTAGTTTTAATTGCTGATTCGATTTTTTATCAATGATTGAACATTAGTTTTAATTGCTGATTTTAATTGACTTGTATAGCTTTAAATAATTTGAATAGTATTTATAAAATTTTGGCAATGGCAAGTCTGAAAAACGCATTTGTCTATGCTATCCAGTTGAAGAACTTACCTGATGGCCATTTTTTTCCCCGTTTTTCCAGTTGTTACAGTCAAAAACCAGAAACAATATTCGCTGCAAGAACTTGATTTTGAACTTTGTATGGCACCTATGTGCTCTTGTGATTCGATCTATGCAGTTTCTGCGGGGATTCCAACCTTGTTTTAGGCAATAATCCATTTTAAATTTGGTGAACACCAATATTTTTTACCCAAGCTCCCATTCGTCAGCTCGTATGGCAGCAATAGGCTTTAGTAACGAATTCAGCCAGGAAAAACTGTTTCCGTATACAGAAAATACTTCGAATGAAAATATATATGTCYATCAGATTAATGTCCAGATTCATTCTAGCTGACCTCAATATGACTCCCTACCTACCGCTGTTCAACTGGTCATCTTCTGATAAYGCGTTTAAAGTCAATTAGACCCAGGAGATGCAAGCAGCTTATTCAGAGGCATGCGGTCTATGGCCATGAAAGGCTKCTTTTTGCAGTTCAAACTATGTTTCCCTGTTGCAGAAGCTTATGGTGCAATTGTCTGGTGGGTAGCCTCCTTGAAGAGGCGTTACACTTTTTCAGTTCTTGAGAAAAGGGGTTTAAACTGGGGAGAAATCATGTAAGGAGCATATTTTAGAAGGCGTGGTTAGGCAGCTACGCAATACTCTTTTCAATTCCTGGTTTTGTAGCTACAGATGATTGGCTGTCTGTAAATCCGGAATTGAGTCCAATGGGCTATAGTTTGTGGCGAGAAATGAAGATTATGACCTGACGAACACACCACAAAAATGAGGAGAGTCTCAAAAACCTTCAATTCTAGCATAGTCGTCAGTACTAATAGAAACTGTTCGTTTACTTACAGAAATTTCTTCTTTCCTGAACTAGAAAGATTTCTCAAGAAATCTCTGCTATCACGCCCTTCTAATATAAATGTCTTATTATACTTGTTTTTTTTTATTTAAACCAGTATTTTCTCATATTTTTTTATTACATTTTTAATTTATTTTTTTATATTTTATAAATGCTGTAAATTGTGCTGTAAGTGCCTAAGCCTATACCCGAACACTTCTGCACACCCCAGCCTTCTCGGCATGCCTGAGCTTGCAGCTTGGTATTTTTTAATTGATACAAACTCGTCTAACAAATAGCTATTTGCTATGCAAATATTGACACATTCAAGGTTATTATGTGTAAATACAACGTACAGCAACAACGAATAACCCAACAGGCAGACCGGAGCGTATGAGCAACATGTGGAATTCACACACGTAAATTGCACGTAACGTAGAATGCTTATGTGAACACACATGCTTACGTGTGTCGTACAATACTTATATATGCATATATGTATATTTGCGTGAGTACATATTTATATGCGTTTGTGTGTAGTATGTGAGCTCGTAGTCGAGCGCGACACTTGTTGTTTGCCGTGAATGAAAATGTKTTGTAAATAAAAAGAGTGAAATTCGATTTAAAATGCCAAACATGTGCGTTTGTATTTACCTATAAGAGTGTATATGTATATATTTATGTGAATCACTGTTTAATAATTCAAATAAATATATTTGTAAAACAAACTTTAAATGTAATAATTTATTACTAGCAAGAACCAGCGCCAAAGTCAACCAGTAAAGCGCGAACAAGTGTCCGAAAGAACGACGAGCAAAGAGCAACTGGTGTTAGTTAGGCCCTAAAAAAWCACACAAATCACTAAAGCTATAAGCAAATACACAAAAGAATTAGTCAAATGCTGAAACAAATCTGCAGACACGATGAARGCATAATGCTAAACCGCCCACAATTTGTAAAGAGAAATCCGAAGGGGACAACAAAAAGTCGTTTGTTTACAAATTGCGGACAATAAAATCAGTGACGCAAYCGCAGGCCAACAGCAACTGAAGAAATACAATGCAAACCACAGAAAATGAGGAAAACAAATAATATGAGCACATGAAAATTTTGTACAAAATGCGAAGACGAATTGTCTTTTAAAATGTTGGCGCACACAAACGAACACACAGGCCTATAAACCATTTAATATGAACTCCCTGCGGTGGCTACTAGCCAAACATGGTCAAAACTCGACCATAAATAAAAAAAATGCAAACAGCCACCAAAATAAAATATTGAAATTTATAATAAAATGAAGAAAATAAATAAATATCTACTATGTAGGCTGCTTGCACTGCGGCGGTGGTTGGCTTTAAAGAGAAAACGAAAATTTATGAAAAAAAAAAAATGTAAATAAATAAATGCGAAAAAAACAAGAAATAAAAATGACCGCACATAACTCGCGCCGTTTGGGCCAATGAGGGACACTGCCAAAAAGCAAAAAGCAAGCAAAAGTTGCCTAAAAATAGCGYAGAGCTGCTACTAGTGGGCTGACTGACTGAGGCGATGCCGGAACAAAATTGTTCAACAAAATTATTTG